AAAAAAAAGAAAAAAAAACAGCAATGAGGAAGAAAAAAAATGCAGTTCTAAAACACATTGAGCAAAGTACTTTTTCCACATTTCTATTGGCTTTTACTTATACTGGATTCTAAAATAAACTTTGACTTCAAAAAGATTTTTATTAGCCAAGCACTGGTAGCCCACACCTGTAATCAGGAAGCTGAGATCTGAGGATTAAGGTTGAAAGCCAACCTCGGTAGAAAAGTTCATGAGACTCTAATCTCTGAACTACCAGAAAACTGGAAGTGGAACTGTGGCTCAAAATGGTAGAGGTCTAGCTTTGAGCAAAAGATCTCAGGGACAGTGCCTAGGTCCTGAGTTCAAGCCCCATGACCCACCAAAAATAAAAAAAAAATTATTTGTGGAAACTCATATGAGGAGTTGTCATCTAGAATTGGTAAGCTACATAGTCCAAAAGCCAAATCAGCACTACATCCTCTTTGGTAAATAGCAAAGCCATGCTCACTTAATTTACAAGTTGTCTTGTCTGTCTTTATTATATAAAACAATAAAGCTGAGTAGTTGTGACTCAGACACATGACTCTTGAAAACACAAAATGTTTATTGTTTGTCCCCTAACAGATTGCTGACCCTGTTCTACAGGACAGAAGTTTAGGCTGCTAATCCCATATCCTGATAACTACTCTTCAAGGAAATTGTCTCTGAGGTCGCAGTATAAACTCAGTCACCTGAGTACTAATCTAGTCCTGTATCTTCAAAAGAATCAGTGAGATGTTTTATTGCTTATCAGTGCCAATTTAACTTAATTTGAAAGCTGGCTATACTGCTGATAATATTAATATTCCAACAATCATCAATGTTCAAAATCTGGGTAGTAAAAATGTTACTGGAAAATATCTATCCATTCACTATTATTCCATTCTAAATTACTATACTAAGATGAAGCCAGAACATCAGTGAGTTGGATTCTGTGATTATACTACTTGATCCTCTATAGAACTTCTTTTTCTTGGTCCTTTAGCGAGTACTGCTTTTAATAAAGGACTTCTAAGAAACAGCCCTCAAAAAATCCATAGTATTCAACATGATAAGCCTGATTACTACAACGTAGAAACAAAACAAAATAAATCACACAAGAAAAATTATAATGGCCAGGAGCTGGTGGCTTAAGCCTATAATCCTAGCTACTACTTAGGAGGCTGAGATCTGAGAGCCATGGTTCGTCATGGTTCTAAGCCATCCCAGTTTAGAAGGTCCTCTTATCTCCAGTGTGTCTTTAGTGATGGAGTGCTAGCCTTGAGCATAAAAACTCAGGGACAGAGCCCAGGCCCTGATATAAAGCCCCAGGACCAGCACAATAAATAAACAAATAAATAAGAAGTAATAACATACAAAGGTAGTTCTTTGAAAAAATAGTAAAATAGCAAATTTCTGGTAAGACCAATCAAGAAAAAAAGAGAAAAAGCAAATATCAGTGATGAAACACTGGAAAACATATGGACCTGGCAGATATTAAAAAGATCTTTGAAGAGGACTTGAACTCAGGGACTAGGCAATGTCTCTCAGCTTATCAACTCAAGGCTAGTACTCTACCACTTGAACCTAAGAATCTTAGTGGTTAAATGGAGATAAGAATCTCATGGACGTTCCTACCTACACTGGCTTAAAACTGATCTTCAGATCTCTGTTTCCTGAGTAGCTAGGATTACAGCCCGAGCACTTGGCTTATAATTTTAAACAAATCACTAGGGAAAAAACCATATCCAAACTGATACGATATTGATCAATGGCTTCTTTTAAGTCAGAATCATGGAAGACAAAGAAAATACAAGAAACAATCCCATATTAAATGGGTCTATACAGACATTAAAACTGAAAATGTGAGATCACAAACTTGATCTTGACAACAGGGAAAAAGCTGTCTTAAAGAGCACAATAAGAGGTTAAAGGAGTGGTACAGGTAATAGAATGCCAACTAATGAGTAAAAGCATCAGACATGGAATTTGAGTCCTGGTTTGGGATAAGAAAAAAAAGAAAGAACATAAAAGACAATTGATAAAAACTAAATATGGCCATATCCTATACATTAATCTTTAATACTGATGTGATAAATAAATGTTCACATAGCCACTTAGCATATATTTAAGTATCAAATTATCTAAACACAGTCACTATAATGGTAAGTGAATGACTATTCTTAGGAAATATATGCTGAAATATTTAGAGATAAAAGGATGTCATGTCTATCCAAATGGTTCAAGAAGAAAGTCTGTCTTTATATAGAGCTATATCTATATATCTATGTATATCTATGTAGAAAAAGAGAATGATAAAGCAGATATTCTAAATGGTAGTTTCTGATTCTCATAACACTATACTGAATACTTTGTACTAGTTTTGTAATTCTGTTTTTAACTACATTTTGGGAATTCCATAGTTTGCTTTTCACACTTGTGTTTGGGCCACTCATTTACTGACAACTCACCTTTTCCATGGTCACAGACATGTATTATACCAAGAAGAACTCTATCTGTATCTGCTTTTTTCTAAACTGAAATTATACACTACACTGGTCCACCAAAAGATAATATACACACAGTAAAAAAAATAACAAAAAAAAGATCACTTTACAAAAAAAAGTGTAACCAAAGACTAGAATTTAAAATACATGGAGTTAATAAACAAAAAGGCAATTATACATAATAATGTCCATACTAGTCCTACTCTAACCACTTAACAAAGTTCACTATGTATACTCCTATGTAAGGTGAGGAAGAAGAGAAAAGAGGTAGGGAAGGGAGAAAAAGGGAGGGACATTGCACTTAAGTTTGAAAGGGTGCTTAAGTTATTGATTTCTATCCAAAATGAGGCCTGACTACAATTCCTGTTTGAGCTCTGGGGTTACCCTGAATCATTGATTTGTATGTATTATTCACCTTTATGGGTAGTACGTTTCACTAACAAAGGTTATAACTAAGGTACCATATTTATAGCTATCTTATTATATTACTAATTTCAGAATTCAAACAGGAATAATGATAAATGTCTCTCTAGTTAACCAACACAGTAAATAAAAAGCAAGTTTTCCATTCCTAAGAAAAATTTAAAGATACATAATACTTATTAAAATGCTCTTATCATTTCTTTCCTTTAGCTTACCCTCAAGGTATGGTGTTCTTGTGCTAATAATATTCTCAGTTCTTCATGTAGTGTTATAACTTCTAAAAATTGTCCCCATAAAGCCATCAGAAGTGAGCACAGTTGTGCAAGATTCATATTTATAAGCTCTGCAAGTTCATCAGGATTTTCTATTTTCTGAAATGACAATTAAAAAAAGAAATTCAGTGCTTTCCAGGACTTTCTGCAACATATCAAATACAATGTTACTGAGATTTTAACTTAGAGGCAAGTTTATTATTCAAAAATCAAATAGATGTGTACAGACATTATTTTCTACTTAACTACAGAAATTTTCCACCATTTCATTCATTTATTTAATTTATTTTTTGGTACTAGAGTTTGAACTCAAGTCCTTGAGCATACTAGGCAGGTCCTTTTCCACTTGAGCCATAACCCCAGATCTTTTGTATTTCTTGTTATATTTTTGAATAGGATTGTACACTTATGCTTTGGCTGGCCTAGACTACAATCTTATTTGATTCCTGCATAGCTAGGTCAACAGGTGTTTACCACCTTTCTGCGCTTTTTATTGGTCTTATAACCTTTTATCCAAGGCTGATTTTAACCCTGATTCTTCTGATTTCTGCCTCATGATAAGCTGATATTATAGGTATACTCCATTATAATTCCCTACAGGATGATCAACATCTATCACCACAGTACTAGAAATTCTAAATACATTGTATATAAGGCAGGATGAAAGCAGTACAAACTTTTGAAACACAGAAAGATCTTAGTAAGACTTTCATCCTCAATCAGCTAAATGAAGTACTTAAGATATCTTTAACTCTTCAGAAAGGACTGAAAAACTTTTGGAAGTGCTTTTCCCCCTCATTTCTATGTTATCAGGTTCTACACCAATTGTGGGCAACTCCTTTACAAAGTTATCGATCACTTCTTTTTCTTTCTAGAGTGCACACATTTTAGGAAGATTAATTTGAGAAGCTCATAGATGAAACAAGAAAAGCAGATTAAAAAAAGCAGTTTATAACACTATTATGAGGTGTTAAAGTATCTCATTTATTAATATGTTCATTTAAACTAATGTAGATGAATACAAAATTGTATGACATGAAGAAGTTGCTCAGTATAACTGGTTTGCTTGAATTGACAGAATAAGCATAGCTGTTTATTTACTTCAACTTTAAATCATTTCTATCATCTTCAAATAGTTATACAAAGAGGTGTCAATTCAACATGTCAATTTATCTGTACAATATATCTTGATCAATGTCATTCTCATCCTTCCATCACTCAGAATATGTATTTTTTTAACAAAGAATAAGTAAGACCATAAATTAAATTTCTCTTTTTTGGGTGCTGGTACTAGGGCTTGAACTCAGGGCCTTGTATTCTCAATTGGTTTTTTGGCTCAAGGCTGCAGTTCAACCACTGGAATATATATGAACTTAAATATTTTAAAAATATGTATATACACACACACACACACACACACACTCCCAAATGCTGAGTATCACAAATGATTTTTACTTTTTGTTTAAGTTTATAATTCCCCTTTATCTCAACCAAACTTCCCATTTATCTCTCCTAACTCAGAGAGATAACACATTGCCCAAACTAAGAAAAAACTATTTAAAAGGGATTATGATTGAGATAGCACAATGTCAAAACTAAGAAAAAATTATTAAAAAGGGATTATGATTGTATAGTATTCATGTTTTTTATGTTGCAAACATTTTAATGATTATTGTTGAGCATATATTTTGGAAATTTACTTCAAACTGCAACAAATTTAAATAAATGTTTATAACATACAAAGAAATTACAACCAAACATAAAACTTGCTTCAAGTGTGCCTTGTAACTACCAGTCCATAGTAGCAATTCAATAAGTATTATTGCAGAGTGAACAAATGAACGAATGAGGAATTATCAGCTTCAGTACAGAAAAAGACAAATTTTCAGGCAAACTCAGGAAAAGGAAGCTAATATAATCAACATGTGATAGATAGGGATTTGTTAATATATGATGATTCTGTAAATATGTTTTGTTACAGGCAATGATTTTTCAGCTGTATTAGAGCAAAGCCAAGTGCCTGTGGCTTACCTCTGTAATCCTAGCTACCCAGGATCCTGAGATATGAGAGCTGAAATTTGAAGCTAGCCCAGGCAGTAAAGTCCAGCAGACTCTTATCTGCAATTAACTAGCAAAAAGCTGGAAGTGTGGTTTGATTTGCAGAGCAAAACAGCTTAGTGACCAAGGCCCTGAGTTCAAGCCCCTGGCCTTACATAAAAGAAATGTTAAGAGACAGGTTCTGGTGTATGCCCTAGCCATGCAGGATACTGAGATCTAAGTATGGTGGTTTGAAACCAGCCCAGAAGGAAAGTCTGCGAGACTCTTATCACCAAGAAACTAGCAAAAAAGCTAGAATTGGAGCTTGTGGCTCAAGTAGTAGAGTGGTAGGCTTGAGCAAAAAAGCTCATGGACAGCACCTACACCTTGAATTCGAGCCTTGATACAGACACAAAAACAAAATAAAACTGCTGAATACATTTTTTCAAATTGATGTTTAATAACTCTTTAGATATTTTCATCATGTATTTTATTAGATCAACTGTCAAAAATTTACCCAAGATGCTGATGATAAATTTTATGTCCATTCAGATGCTGAAATTTAAATGTATACCTAAAACATTTTAGCAAAATGCATATGAAGAGTAAAATTCCATTTCACATTCTTCCATTTTTCTGTCATACATTAGAAACTAGGAAAATATATTCCTTAAAAAAATTCATATATTTACATAAGCATGACCAAATAAATAACCTTTTAGATTTCCTTTATAAACATGAAAACACCTTTCTGCAAATTTTTTCTATTAATACATTTTGAAGAGCTTTCAGAATAAAAGCAGCACCTGATGTCAAAGATCAATAAATATCTGAGGATTTAGGATACTGCTCAGTGGTAGACAGTTTGACTAGCATATGGAAAGCCACAGGCTCAGTCCACAGCACAGCAAACAACCTGGGTTAAGTCATTTTTATCAGTGTGTAGTGATCAACCCAATTTTTTAAATGGGTACCAGAAGTTATAATAATGTCATTCTTGCTGGGCTCCTGTGGTTCATGCCTGTAATCCTAGCTACTCAGGAGGCCGAGATCTAAGGACTACAGTTCAAAGCCAGCCCAGGCAGAAAAGTCCGTGAGACTCTTATCTCCAATAAACCACCAGAAAACTGGAAGTGGCGCTGTGACTCAAGTGGTAGAGCACATGCCTTGAGCTGAAAAGCTGAGGGACAGTGCCCAGGTCCAGAGTTCAAGCCCCTCGACCAACAAAAATGAAGAAAAAAAGTCATTCTATAACTCATATTTGTATGTGAATACTATTATAAACAGATGTAAAAATTAATGTGAGAGAAAAATGTGCATTTAAGAACCAATTTTAAAACAGATTGATGAATTGACCTAAATAACACTGTAGTAACATCTATCACCAACACTTGATTTCCCTATATCCTTACCTGCAAGAGTTACAAATACCATAGTCAAAAAACAGCCAACCAATTCCCACCCAGTAATCCTTTATTTAAGTCTACATTTCCCTATTTTACCAAAATAGTAAAGAACTGCTAATTGCACACTGCCTCTGGAAAACCCTTTTCACAGTTGTCATTCTGAAACTGATATGTGGGAGTCCCTTATACAATTTGAGCATCAATCATTTATCTTTCTTAAATATTGCAAATATTCTTCTCCAATCTATTTCTTTCTTTCAACTTTATAGTGTATTTTTTTGAGGGGGGGGTGGTCATGGGGCTTGATCTCTGGACTTGGGCGCTATCCCTGCACTCTTCAGCTCAAGGCCAGCACTCTACCACTTGAGCCACAGCACCACTTCCGGTTTTCTAGTGGTTAATTAGAGATAAGAGTCTCACCGACTCTTGTACCCGGGCTGGCTTTGAACCGTGCAGATCTCAGCCTCCTCAGTAGCTAGGATTACAGGCATGCGCCACCAGCGGCCCTGCTAGTGTATTTTATTTTAAGGAAACTTCAAATAAGCATCTTAGTTTATTTATTTCCTTTACTATTAGCCCTAAGGAATCATTTCATATTCCAATATAGGACTGCTTATATTCCTACTTTTTTTTTTTCTTTTTATCGGTCATGGGGTCTGAACTCTGGGCCTGGGCGCTGTACCTCAGCTCTTCGGCCCAAGGCTAGCATTCTACCACTTGAGTCAACAGTGCCATTTCCAGCTTTTTCTGCTTATGTGGTGCTAAGGAATCGAACCCAGGGCCTCTTTCATGCAAGGCAAGTCCTCTACCACTAAGCCACCTTCCCAGCAACTTTTTAAAATTTTATTAAGTAGTTATACAAAGTGATTATAATTCCATGTCAGGTTATGAGTACAATGCATCCTGATCAGTGCCATCTCTTCCATCATTCTCCTACCATTTTTCTTCCTCCCATCAGTACCCTCAAGGAATATAGTTCCATTTTATATAATGTACATTTAATTATAATGACTGCATTTGGTCATCTCTCCTCCTTTCTTTCATTTTTTAAAATATTTGTTCCATTTAGAATTGCTTCTGTAGTACGGTATAAGGAGCAATGTTTACCATACCACTTATAAATCCAATAGCCTTAATATTTTATAATATACTTATTTTTTCAAATACTGAGTGAAAAACTAGATTTTTATTCATATAAACTGCACACATCTTGACTACTGCTCTTTTGGACAGCTGTATCAAGAACACTGATTTATCATCTAAAGTATGGCAAAACTCTAGGACAGTATACAAAATTACTTGTACAGTCTGCATATGTACAGTTTTTAAGGAGAAGGTAAGTATCTGTTTCAAAGGAGTCTAGTCTCATTTAAATTTACAGCAAAACATATACCAAACTAAATACAAATTTTTTGATTCATGCCTCTGGTTTGTTTCATTCAGGTAGCTGACCAAGACAAAATACTAAACTTAAAAAAGTAAAAACTTTTTGTTTCCTGGGAAAAGGAAGAAAAGAAAGGAAGAAAGAGAGAGATAGGGAAAGAGTGAGGAAGGGAGGGAAGGAATGAAAAAAGACTTGTTCAATTTGATTGTAGGAAAGAACTAGAAAAATGTGTCCAGAGACACAAACTGATTTGTTGAATTAAAATAGTTGTTTTGGGGGCTGGGAAGGTGGCTCAGTGGTAGAGCACTTGCCTTGCATGCCTGAGGCCCTGGGTTCGATTCCTCAGCACCACATAAGCAAAAAGAA